TTGCAAGGTACATTAGTGCTCCAATTGCACTAAGATACGGTACTTCAGGACCAAGAATTTCTTCATCATTTTCCCGAGGTCGGAATGGATCTTTCTCTACTTCAAGTGATCTTACAACCATAGGGTTGCTCAATGGATGTGCTGTATCCAAAGAAAATCTTTTAAGAACCTTTTCTCTGTATGTTGATTGATGCACAAGGATTCCATTTTCTAGGTGCTCTATTTGTAACCCCAAGCAGAATTTTGTCTTTCCTAGATTTTTCATTTCGAACTCTTTCTTTAAATAATTGATAGTCACTGAAATCTCTTCAGGAGTTCCAATGATATTCAAATCATCAACATACACTGCAAAATTAACAAATCCTAATCCAAATTTCTTTATAAAAATACATGGGCTGATAAGATCATTCTTATAAACTTCTTTCAACAAATACTCACTTAGACGGTTATACCACATACGCCCAGATTGTTTCAATCCATAAAGAGATTTGTTCAATTTAATACAAAAATGTTCTCGAGAACTAGATTTTGCTGCTTCCGACAGCTTGAATCCTTCTGGGAGCTTCATGTAAATGTCATTATCCAGTGGGCCATATAAATAAGCTGTGACTACATCCATCAAACGTAAGTCAAGTCCTTCTCTTATTGCCAGACTAATCAAAAATCTAAAAGTAGTTGCATCCACCACAGGAGAATATGTCTCCTCATAATCAATACCAGGTCTTTGTGAGAATCCTTGTGCAACTAAGCGTGCCTTATATCTTACAACGTCACCCTTTTCATTTCTCTTTCGCACAAAGACCCATTTATATCCCACTGGCTTTACACCTTCAGGTGTACGGACTACAGGTCCGAATACTTCTCTTTTTCCAAGAGATTTTAATTCTGCTTCAATTGTTTCTTTCCATTTTGGCCAATCATTTCTTTGCCTACATTCTTCAAAGGATCTTGGTTCATGATCCTCATTATTATCCATAACATCTAATGCTACATTGCATGCAAAAACATCATCGACGTCGATTTGATTTCGGTTCCATGTAATTCCAGACATGATATAATTTATTGAAATTTCTTCATTATCAGGTACCTGAATTTCTTCTTGTATCATGTCTAAAGTCTCTTCTGGAGATCCTTCGGAAATTATTTCTTCAATTTTACCATCATTAATCAATGCTCCTTTTCTTTTTCGAGGATTCTTATCTTTGGAACCTATTGGTCTTCCACGTTTTTGGCGTGGTTTAGACTCATTAGCAATTTTATTTTGTCCTTCCGAGACATCTATTTTAAATGGAGCATTAACAGCTGGAATATGTGACTTGGTCACTCTTTTTGGGTCAGCAAACGAGCCTGACAATTAATTCGCTAAACTTTGTAAATGAATTATCTTTTGAACTTCCAGTTCACATTGTTTAGTTCGAGGATCAAGATAGGATAATGATAATTCATTCCATTTAATTTCATTTTCCAGCTCTCTCTTTTCTCCCCCTAATGTTGGGAAAAGTGACTCGTTAAAATGACAATCTGCAAAACGAGCCGTAAATAAATCCCCTGTTGTAGGCTCAAGATATTTAATTATTGACGGGGATTCAAACCCAACATATATCCCCATCCTCCTTTGAGGACCCATCTTAGTGCGTTGTGGTGGAGCTATTGGAACATAAACCGCATATCCAAAAATTCTTAGATGGGAAATATTTGGTTCCTGACCATAAACCAATTGTAATGGGGAGAACTTGTGATAACTTGTTGGCCTAATGCGAATTAGTGCTGTTGCATGTAATATAGCATGTCCCCAAGCAGAAATTGGGAGATTGGATTTCATAAGCAATGGTCTAGCAATTAACTGAATACGTTTTATTAATGACTCTGCTAGACCGTTTTGTGTATGAACATGTGCTACATGATGTTCAACATTTATCCCAATGGACATGCAATAATCATTAAAAGCTTGAGATGTAAATTCACCAGCATTGTCAAGCCGAATAGTCTTAATGGGAGTATCTGGAAATTGTGCCCGTAACTTAATAAATTGGGCAAGTAATCTCGCAAACGCCAGGTTACGAGTTGATAACAAAGACACATGTGACCATCTAGTTGATGCATCAATTAAAACCATAAAATATCTAAATGGTCCACATGGGGGATGTATGGGCCCACAAATATCTCCTTGTATACGTTCCAGAAAACTAATTGATTCAAAATTAATTTTAGCTAGTGATGGGCGAATAATCAACTTGCCTTCCGAGCAAGCAGCACATGATAAATTATTATGAAGAATCTGTTGGCTCTTCAAAGAATGTCCACATGAATTCGTAATTATTTTTCGCATCATTATTGAACCGGGATGGCCTAACCGGTCATGCCAAACAACAAAATCATCAGTAAACTTCTGGTTTACTATAGCATGAGCTTCAATAGCATTGATTTTTGTGTAGTACAAACCACTAGAGAATGTAGGTAGTTTCTCCAAAACATGTTTTGAGCCTTGATTATATTTGTGATTTGAAGGAATTCATTATTTTCTTCATTGATTGTCTCAATATGATAACCATTGTTGCGAATATCCTTAAAACTTAATAAATTTCTTTGAGACAATGGGGAGTATAAAGCATCAATTATTTTAATTTCAGTTCCCCAAGGCAACTTTATAGTGGCTCTTCCGGAGCCCTCAATGATATTTGTACTACCCGATATGGTACTTACATTAATCCTTTTCATCATCAAATGAGAGAAATATTTTTTATTTTTAAGTATTGTTTGTGTAGTTGCACTGTCAGCAAGACATACTTCTTCACCATTCATAGCAAATTGAACTTGAGTAATATCCATGTTCTTCATGAAATAAAATACATGTCAAAATATTAAGCATAAAAATAAAGATGATAAAACAAATAAATCAATAAAAACACTTAAATAGTTCATAAATTTATAAAGCAAAAATCCTTATTACAACGAAAGAAATAAACTTAAATAAATCACTACAATAAGCAAACATAAGTCTAATACTTAAAACTGACATAAAACAATATAATTTTAATTATTCCCTTCTGGGGCAGTGAAGAAATCGGCAACTTCTAAATGAGTTGTACTGCCAAAATCAAAATTATTCCCTTCCGGGGAAGTAAGGAAATCACCAACATCAAATTGATTGGCATTACCAAAATCAAAATCACCTTCACCATCTTCAAGAACAAGGTTTGCCTCAACTTTGTTTCCTTTCTTCAATGATTCTTGGTAAAGTTCAATAAGATGCTTTGGAGTTCTACAAACCCGAGACCAATGACCTTTTCCTCCACAACGGTAACATATATTGTTATCACTTTTCTCTTTTTCATCCCTACGTTCCCACTTCTGGTGGGAATGTGAGTTTGTGAAATGACCTCCACGACCTCTACCATATCCACGTCCACGACCCCGGCCGCGCCATTGGCCACGACCACGACCTCTACCTCGACCACTACTGCTGAAATGGTCTCTGTTTTTAGTTTCTTTCCCGTTATGGGTTGTCACATTCGCTTCAGGGAATGGAGTAGAGTTAGTAGGACGTGATTCATGATTTTTCATTAACAGCTCGTTATTTTGCTCAGCAACAAGAAGACAAGATATTAATTCAGAATATTTTTTAAAACCTTTTTCTCTATATTGTGTCTGTAGGACAATATTATTAGCATGGAAAGTGGAGTATGTCTTTTCAAGCATTTCTGTATCAGTAATATTTTCTCCACATAATTTCTATTGAGAAGTTATTTTAAACATAGCTGAGTTATATTCACTAACAGATTTAAAATCTTGCAATCTCAAATTTAACCATTCATAACGAGCTCTAGGGAGTATCACTGTTTTTTGGTGGTCATACCTTTCCTTTAGATTACTCCAAAGGATTTGTGGGTCTTTCACAGTAAAATATTCATTTTTTTAGCCCTTCATGGAGGTGATGGCGAAGAAAAATCATGGCTTTAGCCTTATCTTGAGGTGTTGCCTTATTAGCCTCTTTTATTGTTTCACCAAGCCCTTTAGCATCTAGATGTATTTCAGCATCTAACACCCATGATAAATAATTCTTTCCGATAATATCAAGGGCCACAAATTCGAGCTTGGCAAGGTTCGACATTTTTCACTATACAAAATAATATTAAAAGATAAGTATATATAAATAGTATTCAAAAATATGTATTAAACGTTATAATCATGCATAAATAAACCTGATACAAATCATGCATAAATAAGAACGAAATAGAAGATGAAAACGTTAGCATGGAGAAAAATAAGAATGGAACCTTAAATTATATATCATGCTCTGTATTCGTTATATATGTTGATATTCCAATAAATAAGCATGCAAAAGTAGATAAATGTTAAATTATAATTGTTATGGGCTGCGATCATACTTACATGATAATAATAATATGGGATTCTAGATAAATGTTTGGTAATCCTACTCAGTTGACTAGCAATGGTGTTGATAACGTGTTAAATATGGAAGAGAAAATAAAGAGAGATGAGGGAAGATTGTTACGTTGTATTTCATATTCCATCTAGTACGGGATATATATGATGTATATTTCCTAGGGTTCCATCAATGGATAAGACTAAATACCCAACTCTAGAATATTCTAGATTGTACATAGGATAATAGTCATCCATATTTAGATATTATCATAACAATAAAATAAAACTATAAAATAAAAAAGGGTGGGGGTGTTGGCAAGAATCGAACTCTTGACCTTATGCTTGATAGTGTGTCTAGAGTTGTGATTGACCATTGGGACGTTATCACGATCGTGATACATTGGTCTTTAAAATTGTATATAATGTATATTAACTTTGTAACCAATTGAAACATATTTCAAATTCTATAAAAATTGTTTTTTTAATAACATTATATTATGTAACTATATGTCGGCTTGAAAAACATATTTTTATTTGTAAAATAATTATACATTTTATATTTCTCAAAGTTATTATTATATCGAGGGGAAATTTTTTAATTTTTATTTTTTTTAAAAAATATAAATAAAAAAAACCAATGTAAAGGCTGCAAATCGCGTGAAGCAAGCAAAGAGAGAAAGTCAATAGTCTCAAACCTAACTCCCTCACTCTTTGACACCAAGCCACTAGCCGTCTAGTTCACCGTACCAGTACGCACCAGCCACAAGGTGTTGAGTAAACGGCGACCACCAGCCCACTGTAGTCTCCACACTCTCCTTCTGTCTGCAACTCTGCAAGCCTGCCGATCCGCCATGCCTTCCGCGCCGCCACATCGCCTTCCACCACTAACAAGAATTACCGGAGTGAGTGACCACCGCCACAGAGCAAGGTATTAGTGTATTAAAATTTAAAATATGAACTATTAAATTTGCTATTTTGTTTTAATTTTACTTATGTATAATTTCAGTCATTTGATTGATTAGATTGAACTAAATTGTTGATTTTCAGTTGTTCATTATTGTGGTAATTACTTGATTATTTATAATTTCAGTCTTTGATAATTTTATAGTCATCACACTTTAATTGGTTGTTCACTTCATCACTTGTTCAATATGGTCATTGTGGTGTTGATTGTTCATATGTTGAATTGAATTAAACTGTATGTGGTGAAATTGATGCTTTGTAGTCTTGATTAGTTGGTTATAGACCTTATTGTTTCATAGTTTGATGTAATGGGTAGAGTTGTCAAGTGTTGTGCTTTCTCGAAATCTGGTGATTTGGTTTATGCCCACCAAATGTTTGGTAATATGCCCCAACCAGATGATTTTATATACAATACCTTATTCAGAGGCTATTTGCAACTTTATTTGGCTAGGGAAAGCTTGATTTTGTACTTACGAATGTTACAGGATTCTATTTTGCCTAACAATTTCATGTTACCTTCTCTTAATAGAGCTTGTAGCATTGATAATTGGATTTTAGAAAGCAAGATAATTCATGCCCATGTAATTATATCGAAATTACCATACCAAGGATTAAATTCAAAAATAGACGACTTCTTATTTTGTCATATAGTGTATGTATTATGCTTGTTGGATAACAAAATTATATATATCAACAAATGGAGGAAGCATAAATAGTTATTGAAAATATTAACTTAGAAAACAAAGAACATTTAAATAGATCATTTAAATAATTGTTCACAACATTCTCACTAAGAAGCATAAATAGCTAAATACAAGGTGTAATCGAAATTGTTCACAACACCTCAACAAAAACAGAGTTTTAAGGATATCTAAACGAACTTCTAAAAATACTCAACACAGTACACATAAATAGAGTCAAGGGATGTAGGCTAATTGCCATAAATTAGGTTACATATCCATAGCCATCAAGACACATAAATAGTGGCAAACAAATCACAGCTCGGTTAACAACTTCTCTTTACGACGCTTCTTCTTCTCTGGTCTTGTTCCCATTACTTCTCCTTCATCAAGCTGCTGCAGTCTGCCAGACCTTTGTTTCACCTGGTTTTAATTACATACATGCAAATAGATTGGGTAAAATGTCATTGATGTACTAGTAAAGATGATATGACATAAAGACTACGTACCGGAAATGTAGACGACTTGTTGTTGTCTCCTCCCGAATCAGAGGTGATTTTTGCTGGAACAACCTAAGTACACATAATGTGTAAATGTCTTGATTAGTTATTCATGCTATAAACTCACATAATGCTATATGCTCACAATTTTGAGTAATAATGTATTTGGTCAAAATACCTTGGCATTGTGCTTCTTTTGAGTGATTCCTCCCGAATCAGTTGTCGTTTTTGATGGAACAACCTAAGTATACATGATGCGTAAATGTCTTAATTAGTTATTTATGCTATAAACTCATAATTTTGAGTAATAATGTATTTGGTCAAAATACCTTGGCATTGTGCTTCTTTTTAGTGACTCCTCCCGAATCAGGTGCCATGGTTGCTGGAACAACCTAAGTACACATAATGTGTACTTAGGTTGATTAGTTATTCATGCTATAAACTCACAATCTTGACTGAAAGTGTATTTGGTCAAAATACCTTGGCATTGTGCTTCATTTGAGTGGGCTTTTTGAAGCCCATTCAGCTAGGGTCTTCTATCTTGAGCCTTTAGGTCTTCCACGAGGCTTCGTTTTCCAAACATGATCTTTCACTACGACAGTACGCATCAATTCTGTAGATTGAGGTGTTAGTTATAACTCGTCCAAGTGAGGTAGCTCATCTAAGTGAGGCATCGCATCGTTTGACCTTGTACGAGTGTCTTCAGAGCACGAAAACATTGATGCACTTCCATGTTCAGAGAAACTTATTGCGGTCTGAGTTTTGTCTCTAGCTTTAGCTGTTATCACATCGGACCTCATTTTTTTGACAGCCTTCAACACCTCTTCCATAGTTTCTTCATTAGCCATTGCCACCTCATCACAAGGTGCTTCTAAATCGGACAACAATTTGTTGTAACGTCTGACCTCGTCTGTCTGTGATGGATTGTGGTATGACACCTTGACCAGAGTGTGTTTTCGGAATATATCCTTACGCCATCTTTTAAGAATGTACTTAGACGGTATGTCAAGGACTCTGTTTTAATCAAGTATCCGCATCATGTGCTTGCACATAATACCATTCGTCTCAAATTTTCTACACTCACAAGAAACTTCATTCGTAATCTTGTTGTATTTTGCGGAGTAGCACCTACGTCTGTCGGTGATTTCATCCTCACTCTTGCCCTCGGGGAAAATCCAGACACGGTCTTCTACAACATAGTTTACCACAATCTCTGTCGTCGAAGACTCAGCACGGTAGTAGCAATACATCATCCTAACACATTCTTTTTGGACCTATTGAAACTTTGTGTCGGTGCGTATCTTTTGGAAAACCTTCTCCACATTGAAACCAGTCACAAGTCTTCTTATGTACTTTATACAGTTTAAATCTGCGGACAGTTCATCACGTGCTCGCTTTACCATGGCTGTAGGGAATAATTTCAAGCCTTTAAAATCCCACTAGCTTGAACCCCACTGTTATCATACACTAAAGTACGGTGGCGTCCAAAAGGGAAGAAGATAGAGCAAAAGAGTCGCCAACAAGTTTTTAAGGAACTTGTAAACCGTTCATAGGATGAAGGTTACACCCCTTAACGATCCAAGAGATCGTCAACTCCATAAGGTCATGAACCAAATAAGGGTTCGGGGATGATGGTACAAATCCAACCTAAAAGAGATTGAACCTGCCCTAATAATAGGCCTCTACTTTATTCTGATCATATTCATGTGCGCTTTCTGATTAACATACAATTAATAGGTTAACCCTAAACCTGTTTAATCTATGTTGGTTGAATATTAATGCACAAATAAACTATTATTGGCGATCACTTGAATTATAATCACAATTAACCTAACAAGATTATTAATTATCTTATTAAGCGTGATTGCAAATACCAATTCCCTTTAACCTGCAATAAAAGGTGATCAAGCAATAACAATATAAAATAATATGCATATCAAGCAACATGATAAATAATCATAATAATTATAAATAATCATAAACATTAGAAAGAACATATGAAGCATCATACTTTAAATCATACTTAATATTAAAGATACCCTAGACATGATACTAGGAATCATAATAACGACCTAAACATGATATCTACATCATAAATCAATTAAACCATTAAAGTACTTACTTGGATGCCTCGTACCTCTTTCTAATTACAAAATACACACGTTAGTAACTTCAAGAAAAAATAATAATCAAAACAATTAAATTAAATAATTGAAAGAGAAATTTTGGGCTAAACCCTCAGAAATTAAAACCTTTCACGTCTAGGGCGAAGGCAACTTCGAATATGGCTAGGTGTTTCTAGATCTTGTGAATGCGGATTTTTGTGTGAAAAAGTAAAGTTTAGAAAAGAATGCTAAAGAATTAATATTATTGAGAATTGATGAAAGAAAGATGATGAATGAATAAAGAGAATTAATGAATAATTTTGTGAATGAAGAGAGTTGATGATTAATAGATGTAGATGATGAATGAAAACAGATTGATGATGATTGAAAACGGAGTTTTTAATACGATATTTATAGAGAAAATCATCCAAAAAAGATAATTTATCAAAACAGAGTCTGAAGATCGCAAAACTAACTTGGCGACAGCCCTGACTCATTGGCGCCAGGACCAGTGGCTAGCGCCAGGCGCCAATGGCTGGCGTCTGGCGCCAAGGCCTGGGGTTGGACGCCAAACCGAATTTTAACGCGTTTTCAAAAATATGATAATTTTATTGTAGTGGAAGATAAAATAATATAATTTTAGTCGAAAATGCTATTTGATCTAATTAAAACTCTGAAGAATCCTAATTGAATTAAGAATGATAAAACCTTCTAGAATGTTCTAGAAGACCAAAACCATTTCTAATTACATTAGGAATGATAAATAATATTAGGCCCTCCCCTAGATCATTGGGCCGTACTTAAAGCTCAAACCGGGCCCAGTTTAGTAAATTGGCCATAAATTCCTCAATATTCATCGGAATTGGGCTTATAATATATCGTTGGAAAGGTCTTTGCAAGCCCCATCCAACTACACCACTATTGGACCCATATCATGGACCAACCAAACTGGATTGACTGTTTTCTTAAAATAAAGTTTTCAAAAACAGAGAGAAGAGAAAAGAAATAAAACTTTCCGCAACACTAGACCTTTCCACACTTTCGTTTCATTCGATTATGATTCGACGTGAAAGACACTCATCACCGGGTTTGGTTTTGGGGAGACACAAATGGGTGTCTACAATGGCTCTTCCATATTTAACCATGAATTCATACAATTTAGTGTTACAATTAAACAAAACCGTCAAAAAAACTGTTGATGCTCTCAACTCTTTGTGTTGTCTTCATTCCAGCCTAGAAGTATTCCTTCATGAATGCAGGGATCCACATGTGTCGTTCATCATAAAGGCCGGTCAGCCAGTCGTTGGTTTGTAGCTCGTACTTAGTAACAAAGTCATCCCATTGAGATTCAAACTCAGCAACTGTCACACTCTCATACACAATACACTTGAACACACTTTTAAAATCATCGTACTTGTGTTTTGACACCAAGAAAGAAGTGTAAGTGATTAGGCCAATTAGGATAAAACTATGCCTCAACTTAAACAAACTTATTTGATTTATATTATCTCTCACATTTAACATTTACCGAGTTTTTCAGGTATCTTTCTCACTATATGCCAAATGCATCACCGGTGACGTGTAGTTGGTAAGACCTCCTCAATAGGTTTCCTCATTGCAGCGGCTTAGTCGGTTAAGATGGCCTGTGGTGCACGGTTGTTCATACATTCCAACCAATGCTTAAATATCCATCGGAATGTATAACAATCCTCACGAGACACCAAAGCACATCCGAGTAAAATTGACTGCCCGTGGTGGTTAACTCCAACAAAATTAACAAATGGTTGGTCATATTCATTTGTGAGATAATTTGTATCAAAGCACACAACATCTCCAAATTCTTTGTACGCAACATGACTACGAGCATCTACCCACAACACGTCTTTCAATCGTCCCTCTGCGTCAAGCCTTTGTGTGTGAAAGAAGTTTTGATTCCCTTCTTGAATCTTCTGAAAGTAAGTCATCATCGATGTGGAATCATTCCCTTTCATTTTCTTCTTCCTTGCCTTGTACATCTCGTGATGCAGGCCTGTAAGGGTTAATGGCATCTTATCTGGTCCGACATACTCAGTAGACAAGCACCCATGAATTTGAGTAACTAGGAAACCCTCATCAAAGTAATTTAACAACTTCCTTCGAACTGTGGATGTGAGCTTCTTCATTCTATACTCTTTTACTAGCTTTGACTTGGTAGGTGTAGGGTTGTGATTCGAATGCTCCAAATTAACTTTCTTCAAAACCCACTCTCCTTCAGACTTGACAGCTCCATATATCATTGCTTGGCACTCACATTTCTTTGACTTCCTTTTCCTACGTCTTAATTCATCTTCGCAAACAACACCCCCAACCACTCCACCTGAACCAGACACACCCATGGCCTTCGCCCTCTTAGATGCTTCCCTCCTCGTCCTCATGTCAGGTCTCCCCCAACACTCGCACCTTCAAGTTGTGGTGGCCCGGTCTCTAACCTCTCCCTTAGTATACGTACCCTGTGCTCTGCATACTCCAAAACCTTGTTGTTCGGCGTACTCTTTATAATATGATTCAATATCTCGCCAGGTCCTAAACACCATTCCCACCTTTGGAGGTTCAATTGAAGTGACTACACTGATGTGATTACTAGAAACAATAGTTTCGACGGTCTCCACTATTTTGATAGGAGACATGTAGTTCAAACTATTATTTTGTCTCGTCGGAGTACAGTCACCCTCCACCCGTGGAACTGTTTCCTGCCCACCATTATGAGAACATGGTGTTTCTAGACCATTTCCACAACAATAGATTTACTAGCCCTTACAATAGCATCTACACTCCCTCCAAAGTCCATAATATTTGGTGGGTCCAGGAACCAATTTCGCAAACACGATGTCCCAAATATATGTGTCACCAATACAATTCAAAGGCATCATGTGAATTTCACTAAGTGCACACTAATCATACACACATCAATATAAATTTTACCTATTAAGTTACAAAATAAATACAATTTTACAAATAGTCACATAATTTTGGATCTTTTACCGAAACAACTATTTTTGAAAAAAGTATTTACCAAGACGGCTAAATATAAAATTTAATTCCCAAAATAGCTAATCTATTAAATTGGAAGGAATTTATCTATTTCTAATTAACTTGGAAGCAATATACAAAAATACGAAGAGCGTAAATAGACTCGCAAAACCCTAATTTCTTGATCCTTGTTTTTGAAAATTTGCAATTGCTCCCTTTTGGTGAATTTGAAGCTAATAGTGAGTTTTTTCTACAACCTTGTGAGGTTTCATGATTTTTAAGCCTTCTACATATCTTGCATTAGTGGCATGGATCCTTGACTATTGCGGACCTAATCTTCAATCTTGACTCATAATTCTCAAACACGAGACCGAACCATATAAGAAAGACAAAGGCTTCTTTTCGGGGAGGTAATTTTTCTTTTTCTAGGTTTAATCTTCTTTATTTTAGTTAATTGTGTACACATTTGCCTTCTTGCTAACCATTTGAGTCTTTTCCCTTATTTTCAAGCCACATCTTTAGAACTTTGAGCCTTTTATTTCTTTTTATTCCATTTTTGGTTTTTGTGAAGCAAATGGTCATGTTTTTGGATTTTGTGGTATATAAGGTTGGATATTGGTTCTATTTGTAAGCAAGCTTGTGTTTTGTGTATATTTTGTGAATAATGGCAAATGTATTATCGAAAAGCCGTCCAAAGTTAAAAAAAAAGGCAAGGACATAATAAATGCAAAGTTGTAAAAGCCGTCCAAAGTTAAAAGAGCCGAGGACAATTGCTTTGAATATATGTATAAAAAGGAAAAAACAAGGTGAAAATGAGAAAATTCAAAAATATTTTGAAGTGATTCTTTTCCCCTTTTCAAGCATTGAGGGCAATGCTTCCTTTAAGCTTGGGGGAGAAGCGTTTACGCTTTATGTATATATGTTTGTGAGTATATCTTTGAATAAGTTTGGGGGTGTTAGTTTGTTTTTGTTTGGTGACTACTTGATTGTGATTCTAAGAAAGACCTCTTCTTTGCTTCACTATTAGGGATACCACAAAATTTTTAAATTTTAAACCTACCTTCACCCTTTTGCCCTTACGTTACAACCATTGGGAAAGACCTTTCGACCTAGAGGTTGAGTAACATTTCGAGGGAGGGCATTATGAGTTAAAGCCTAAGGAAAGGGGATGCAAAGTCAAGATGTTGAGAAACCTCAAATCTATTTGTTTTTCCTGTTCCTTTAAGGAACTATAAAGACGCTCACTAAAAAGTAGATTTGAAGCTAATAGTGAGAATGTGCTAAAATGTTTTGAGATGAAAGTGAATTGCGTTTCTTTAGTTCTCCATGCTTAGCATATCCTATGTTTCAATCAACGTTAAATATCTTAGAACGTGCACTCCTTTACATGTTTAGAAAGATTTGCATTCATTTATGCTTGTACATTTGGAAAGTCCTTCATGAACATTTGTTTGCTTTTTTTGTATTTTTGTATCTTTTTCATGCTTTGCCTTGTTTGTATTATAACGAGAGTTATAGGTTAATCTCTTAGGAAACCTTTACAAGAGCATCACTCGTCCTCTAGGGCGATCTAGGGGTTTAAGTGGCTTGTCTTTAGTTGCTAAAATTGACCGTGATTCCTACGAAAGTTAGTTAGTGTATATTCTTGTCTTTTCTCTTCTTTTTGTTTGTTTGAATAAACTCCTCATTTCTCCCTTGGTTTTGTTTTACTCGAGGACTAGCAAAAGGTAAGTTTGAGAGTATTTGATGGGTGTCATAAATGGCACCCATTTGATGAGCATTTAGGTTGTTTTCACCTTCTTTTCATGGCTTTCATGCTTAATAAATGCTTAGTTTTTATGTATTTGGTCTTGGTTTTACCTTTCCTCTCTTATTTTGTAGTTTTTATGCATTTTGTTTGTTTTTCACTATTTTCTCTATTTTTGTGGTTGTAGGTATTGTACGAGGTTCGGGTCTTGATATTGGTGAATTACTAAGGTGGGAGATTCTTTTGGAGCAAGCTCATGTCAATTGGAAAGCTCAAGATGTAAGGAAGTGGATTCTCCAAGTTCTAGCTCTTGCGTTCACAAGCCGAGCTCTCATGAAGATGGGCTGTTGAACCCACAATCAAGTGTTTTTGGGACTGCCTATCTTATTGTTCATCATCATCATGTTGTGCATTCATTCGAAGACCTTAGCGAACGCACAAATCCGCGAGAAAATCCGAAGAAACCCAGAAGAGCACGGGCGCGCGCTGTTGCTGCGGGGGCGCTCCTTTGCGGGTTCCGGCTTCTCTCTTCTTTGTTTCGCGCCTCTTATAAATATCCTTTTGAACCTAATTTTGCAGAAAAGTTTTATTTTAGATTTAGATCATATTCTTAGCTTAGTTGAGAGCATCTCTCTCTAGTTTTAGGGTTAGTTTTAAGAGTAGAATTTAGAGAGAGAAAGTGAGGAATTTCAATGGTGATTTGAGTGTTGAAGATTTAAGGTGATAATTGTATTGAAGATTATCAAATCAAACAATGAGGATTTCTAACTCTATCTCATTTTATTGCTATGTTTGATTTCATATTTGTTTGGTTTGATTTTGAAGTTTGGTTGTTGATTATTGTAATTGTTCTCCATATTTTGTTGATTCTTGATTCATGTAGTTGTTTGTCGATTAGATGATGATGTTAGAGTAGTTGTTTGCTAGGGATTGGGTGAAACTTGTATGATTGATTGATTGTGCTTAATTTGGGGATTGTGTTGATTAATTGTTGAGATTAAAGTGATTAATGGAAGTTTGCATGTGTGTAATTGATTAGGCCTTGAGAATTATGCTAGATTACATTGTAGTTTCTAATGATACGTACCATTTATTTAGGAATTGCAATTTTCGATTGCGCTTGATTAGTGATGCTCCTAGTTTGAGTCTCTCGTAGTTGGCGCTAGTTTGACCACTAGGAGATAGCTTGTTAAATCTTTTGATTGAGCTTGTCATTAGTCTTCACAACCATTGACTTGCATGTATTACTGAGTTGCTACATTGTCATGATTACTTGTTGATCCCCGTTCTTAGTGTTTATTTGTTTGGTTCTTCATTTAGTTAGTTGATAATAGCGTTTACCTTTTATCCTTAGACTTCGATCTAGCTTAGGCGCATAATTGAGAGCGCTTGAACATTACCGTTCCTTTGGGTTCGACCCTTAACTTGCCTCTATACTAGTATATAGGTTTGTTAAGTGTTTATAAATTTACTTTGACCGAGGGAGGATTAGTTTCAACGACCTAGTTCCACCCCTCGTCAAAATGGCGCCGTTGTCGGGGAACAATGTCTATGTTTGAGTGTTTTTGATTGCTTGAGTATTGTTCTTTGTATATACTTTTCTTTTATTTGATTTTTGTTTATTTTGTGAAAAAAAAAATGGCATGTCTATCTTTTCCTCAATATAACAATTGCCTTGTTGTGAATATTTATATAGACTAGCTGGATTTCTTGACTATCATTGTTGTAGTCTTTGGGAGGCTTGTGAGATTTGTTATTTTGGTTTGAATGAACAAACTAGGAATGAAGTTGAATGCATGCATAATGGTAGATTTAGAGCATTGTCAATTGATAATGCTTGGGATTTCTATGTTTGGTTTTCTAGTGATGTTTATATTAGGGGTAATCGTACTTCTAATTTTGATGTGCAATGTGTTAATTCTCCTAATGATAGCATGATTTCCCATGATGTATCACCTGATCCCATTAGTGAACCTAGAACAAATGCTTCCAATTCTATTTCCTCTTTTGTTCATGATAATGAGGTGCATGCTCAAGTTGACAAATCTCATATGTTTGATTGTGCCCCCACTCCCCAATGTGATGTATATGCTCATGATTTCAATGTTGATTCTTCCAATCTTGGTTGTACTTCTTCTTTTCTTGTTGAGACTCAATCTTCTACACCTTTTGAATCTCTTATTGCTACTTTGAAAACTCAAATTAGGCATATTGAGCTTAGTGATGATCTTGGGCCTAAAAAGGAGTCGATTCTTAATTCTTTGAGAAGTCAATTGGAGGTGATGACAAAGAGTGTGGAGCATCTTGAGGAGGGAAGAAAGAGAGGTAAAGAGCTAGAAAGCCAATTGTCATCCTTAATGCTTGTTCGTGAAAAATCTTTATCCAATGTGTGTGTTGAGGGTGATGATGATAATTTTGAGCAACCAAGAGAGTGTGAGGATCTTATTGGTGAGCATATGAGTGATGGTGAAGGACTTGAGAATGAAGAGAGAGTTGAATTTGAAAATCCTAACCCTCTTTCCCATCTTGATGAGCCTCAAGTGTATGTTTGTGAGCCTTCAATCTATGAATACATAGACTCTTTTGAGGTAATGTCCCATTTGTTTTGTGAGAGTCATATGAAGATTTATAGATTCTTGGATGAGTTCATCGAGAAAGCTTATTGGGATTTAGATGAGTTTACGATGACTCTACCTCCACTCATGCACGGTTTTGAGGACTTAGGTTTTGAGATAGTTGAAGGAAAGGTTGTTTATTGTGGTGCAAAGGAGGATGAGGTTGATTCCCTTGGATTTTTTGAGCTTGAGGGAGATTTAGATTGTGAGATATCTTCATTTGAGGACTCTATGATTGATTTTCATGCTCTCATTGGAGATGTGAGACCTTGTGTTGAGGAAGTAGCTACCCCTTTGCCTATTTCTCATACCCCTTTTTCTCAAAGGTTTGACCACATCCCTTCTTGCCCTATTTTTCTCCCTTCCTATCTCAAAGAGCCTATTGGGGACCCCATTGTCTATAATGATCATAATGTCCTTCATTCGTCTATTGTTGAGGAAAAAGGTGATGTTGCCACCCAAAAATATTTTAGTGAGGAGGATTTGACTTTTTCTTTTTCTTTACATTCTTTTATTCCCCCTTCTTCTTCTTATTTTCTTGTTTTTCCTTTTGATCCCTCCTCTTCTTTCTTTTGGCATCTCCCTTCTCACTTGCGTGCAACAATCTTGTTGCACGTCCTTTTCCCATCATTGCCTACCTTCTCTCTTACGAAATGTGTAGTAGTGCATTTGACAAGCTCTTGCCTACATTGAATTATTATTTTCTAGAGCGGTCAAGCTTGGACCTTAAGCAAGCCTTTCTCGGGAAGTAACCTGTGTTTTATTGCTTTCATTTTCTTTTCTTTTTAGAATTGATTTTTTCTCATGGAAATGTTTGTGTTGCTTTTGCTAGGTACATGACTTGATATACTTTGGTGCTTCGATTTGGATCAAGAATCAAGGAAGTTTGACTCTTATTTTTGTTAGCATATGGAAGGCAAGGCTCAATTTTTGAGGAAATTAGCTTTGAAAGGTTTAATTAGGTCATTTGTGGGTATTTACGCCCACCTAATATCCGGTAATATCCTTCCTTGCTCTTTCTCAAGTGGATGATGACTTGTTGGATATATGATTGGTTTGTTGGATTGATCTTCTTGTTTTCCCCTCCCATGGTTTCTATGAATTATGTTTGAGTGTATTGTCTCATTCAAGCTTAGGGGAGGGTATTCTATCATGTTTGATGGGATATTGATTCATATATGCTTTGCACCTTTGTATATGCATTTCCATGTTCCATATCTTGAAAAACTCCGAAAATAATTTTGTTTCTATCAAGGCAAATTTGCAATTTATCTTTGTTTTGTTCTTGCTTTGGACATAATACTTTTGGACTTGTATAGTTGAATGCTTTTCTTCTTAAATGGTAACGGTGTGCATGGTTTGAGAGTATGTTTAGTTGATTCTAGGATAGAGTATGCTACAACCTTGTGAGGTTTCATGATTTTCAAGCCTTCTAAATATCTTGCATGAGCGGCATGGATCCTTGACTATTGCAGACCTAATCTTAAATCTTGACTCATAATTCTCAAACACGAGACTGAACCATCTAGGGAGGACAAAGGCATCTTTTCAGGGTGGTAATTTTTCTTTTTCTAGGTTTAATCTTCTTTATTTTAGTACATTGGGTTTACATTTGCGTTCTTGCTATCAATTTGAGTCTTTTCCCTTCTTTTCAAGCCACATCTTTAGAACTTTGAGCCTTTTGTTTCTTTTTGTTCCATTTTTGGTTTTTGTGAAGCAAATGGTCATGTTTTTGGAGTTTGTGGTATATAAGGTTGGATATTGGTTCTATTTGTAAGCAAGCTTGTGTTTTGTGTATATTTTGTGAATAATGGCAAATATATGATAGAAAAGCCGTCCAAAGTTAAAAAAGGCAAGGACATAATAAATGCAAAGTTGTAAAAGTCGTCTAAAGTTAAAAGAGGCGAGGACAATTGCTTTGAATATATGCATAAAAAGGAAAAAAAAGGTGAAAATGAGAAAATTAAAAAATATTTTTAAGTGATTCTTTTCCCCTTTTCAAGCATTGAGGGCAATGCTTCCTTTAAGCTTGGGGGAGAAGCGTTTATGCTTTATGTATATATGTTTGTGAGTATAGCTTTGAATAAGTTTGGGGGTGTTAGTTTGTTTTTGTTTGGTGACTACTTGATTGTGATTCTAAGAAAGGAGCTTCCTTTGCTTCACTATTAGGGATACCACCAAATTTTTAAATTTTAAACCTACCTTCACCCTTTTGCCCTTACGTTACAACCATGATTTCGAGGTAGGGCATTATGAGTTAAATCCTAAGCAAAAGGGATGCAAAGTTAAGATATCGAGAAACCTCAAATCTATTTGTTTTTCCAGTTCCTTAGAGGAACTATAAAGACGCTCACTAAAAAGTAGATTTGAAGCTAATTGGGAGAATGTGCTAAAATGTTTTGAGATGAAAGTGAATTGCGTTTCGTTAGTTCTCTATGCTTAGCATATCCTCTGTTTCAATCAACCTTAGATATCTTAGAACGTGCACTCCCTTACATTTTAGAAAGATTTGCATTCATTTATGCTTCTAAATTTGGAAAGTCCTTTCATGAACATTTGTTTTCTTTTCTTGTATTTTGGTTTCTTTTTCATGCTTTGCCTTGTTTGTATTATTACGAGAGTTATAGGTTAATCTCTTAGGAAACTTTTACGAGAGCATCACTCGTCCTCTAAGGCGATCTAGGGGATTAAATGGCTTGTCTTTAGTTGCTAAAATTGACCGTTATTCCTACGAAAGTTAGTTAGTGTATATTCTTGTCTTTTCTCTTCTTTTTGTTTGTTTGAATAAGCTCATCATTTCTCCCTTGGTTTTGTTTTGCTCGAGGACTAGCAAAAGGTAAGCTTGGGGGTATTTTATGGGTGTCATAAATGGTACCCATTTGATGAGAATTTAGGTTGTTTTCATCTTTTTTCATGGCTTTCATGCTTAATAAATGCATAGTTTTTTGCATTTGGTCTTGGTTTTACCTTTCCTCTCTTATTTTGTAGCTTTTATGCATTTTCTACTCTTTTCTCCTTTATTTGCTCTTTTTCGTGGTTGTAGGTATTGTACGAGGTTCGGATCTTGATATTGGTAAATTACTAAGGTGGGAGATGCTTTTGGAGCAAGCTCATGGCAATTGGAAAGTTCAAGATGCAAGGAAGTGGATTATCCAAGTCCTAACTCTTCCGCTCTCAAATCGTGCTCT